TATATCTGTCCCTCACCGCCCATGATTTTGGGCGCATGAGCAGGACCAATAGTCAGCAACTCAGGTGCCATCTCGTTGATGCTAGCTTCTTTTGTTTGTGTCAACATGGCAGCCTCATGCTCGTTCAACGAAAATAAAATAAGCTTCAATTCACGTTTGCAGTGGAGAAGTCACTAGCGATATAAGCTACGCCCTGATTTGCATGAATAGACATTGATACAACGCATAGTATGCACTTCAGCATCGCAAGCAGTACATTCAGGTTTACAAGCTTGAGAACAGACAACGATATATTATACCGGCGGCGAAACAAATTTGACAATCCGACAGAAGTGTGTATGATTCAGAAGGCTATGAGAAATGTCAAAGATCATCATGACCCTCTCTAGAAGTGTAAAATTCAAGGGAGAACGGACAAGTCCGTAGGAATATCATTAGAAGAAAAGAAGAAGAATTTTTTTTTGAAATTCCGGTTCAAAAATCTAGGGTTTTTATTCTCACGGAGTCCCATGGCCGGGGCCAGGTAAAATTCATTATAACTCTACTTCTCACATTTTTCTCATTTTTGACTTTCCACTTTTCAGTCACTTTTCTCTCATTCTTCAGCACTCTTCCTGCCTCCACTGACTTCCAGTCTTCCTGGCTTCCAGAGATACTGTGTCTGTGAGTATATATAGCTCTAAAGTCTAAACACTCTTTCTCTAGAGTAGTAGTTTAAATACTAATAAATAGAGAGAGAGAGAGAGAGAGAGAGAGTGAGATACGCTACTAAATTACATACTACATATTTATTTCGGGGTCATAAAAAAGACTTTGATCTTACTCCAGGACAGAAGAATTACTCTGTAACTTTTATTTTAGAGTAATAGAAGTGACTCTTTCAGTCTTTCGATTTTATGTCCTTTGGATATGATATTCGACAAATTCCGAGAGGGATATATGTACATAGCGTCATGGTAATCCTGAGGGCAATCACTCAGTGAAATCATGCATTGTCAAATGATCAGCTGGGCTGGTAAACAACGCCGACATTTTCCTAAACGACATGTACGACGAGTCAGTACGACATTTTTTCAGCCATGTCGTCGTTGTCTGGTGCCGTCTGTACTAATTTTGCCGACATATTGTTTTTCATTCAAAACAAAATTCTCAGACAATGAGACCCCAGTAAGAATTCTAAACCGATGAGTTTCGTATATACAGTCATCACTCATCAGTACCTTGAGAATAGTATTGGTTGTGGTCCTACTGACGTGGCCTACTGCACCCAAACCCTTATTGGGGGAACCGATGTCTCGGGCCGACGTATATCCAAACGACATGTACGACGTGCCGTGCGACATTCTGGCAGGGTAATGTCGTCGTTGTCGGATGCCGACCCAGCTGATCAGTGAAATCTCAAATCAGTTAAATCACAAATGTGTTGTCAATTGGCAGGTGGGTTGGTCACGTGGTAGTTGGTATGTGCTACCAAGTGCTAACTACTTGGTAAACGTCGCCAACCTTTGGGTAAACGACATATCATAAAAGCATGATGATTGATATTATATGAGACATTTTAACATCACATTTTTGTCGCCGCGACATTTGTACATCAGGACCAGGAGTCGATTACTCCGAACTCGATATATATATATATATATAATTTGTTTTTAAAATCAAAACAAACACATACCGAATTCAATATCAATTTTATAATTTTTATTCCAGAGAATCCGGAGTTCCGGACTTCAAAACATCCGGGGCGGTATCCGACAACGACAGACACCCTTAGGAAAATGTCGCCGCGACATGACTGACTTGTCGTTTATTGTCGCGACAGTCGGGTCTGGGTTATCACTATGTGTATCGCCGATACCCGACGCCGACCTACATGTCTGACATGTATTTTTGCTAAATGCCGGAGTCTTTTACCAGCCCAGCAAAACACTGGGTTGGTAAACGACGCCGATATTTGCTTAAACGACATGTACGATGTCCTATTATTCCGTCAGATATTATTCATCGGTCAAACGAGAGTATTTATATATATAAAATGCACAGTCGATACAGTGAACAGAGGGTTGTAATTTGTAATTAATATTTCCGAATTTCGAGTGGTAAATATCATATTTATTTTAATATTTTGGGTGCACTCGTCGTTTCTGTCCGCAGATGCTGCTTGGGCGACTTTCCGAATGTGATTGTCAGATTGTCGGTCGTTCGACCGACTGAAGTGAATGTGCACAAGATACTAAGAGTGAAGACTGAGACTCAGAGTCTCACCGTCTCAGAGTCTCATTCTCTCACATATGTTTGAGAAGTCAGATGTCAGATGTGTGTGTGAACACTGAACTGTGAAGACCACTGAAGTGTGAACTCACTGAACTGTGAAGTGATACTTGATCGACCAGTCACCAGACTCCAAACTTTAAACTCCAAACTCCAAACTCCAAACTCCAAACTCCAAACTCCAAACTCCAAACTCCAAACTCCAAACTCCAAACTCAAACACTCCAAACTCAAACACTCCTAACTCATCTCAAAGACTCGATCTCATACATAGATGTACATAGAGTACAATCTGTATCAGTATAGATATAGTGCAATCACAACAACTGTAAATAAGGGGCTTTGTAATAGAACTCACTCGCGTGGCGCTGATCAAGATAGTCTAACTAATGAGAGAAATGGCCGCTCGTGACTAAATCGAAAACAACGTAACTAACGAACAAAATCGAAACAACAAACTATATAAAGCTGAATCCACCGCTCGGAACAGTTAACATACATAATAACCATCTTAACATACCAAAGTAAATATGGCCTACGGAGGAGAATTTGGTGTCGCCGTCAACGAAGGACCAGGATGGATGCAATTTCGCCACACCAAGGCAAAAGAACAGTTATTTACCCCCGAGAACCAGAAAATACCAGCGACGATGTCTGCGTCGTGGAATGCGTGCGCGAAGAAGTATAGTGAGCAGAAATGCCTGGGAACGCGCCAACTTGTGTCGTCTGAGACTATCAAAGACCCAAATACGGGAAAGGAAATGGTAAAATGCACTTATGGAACCTACAGATGGATGACTTACAACCGCACAAATGAGCGCATTCAGGCGTTTGCCAAAGGTCTGATCTCCATGGGTGCTAAACCCAAGGAGAATGTGTGCATTTTTATGAACACGATGGCGGATTGGCAGGTTGCTTCACAGGCTTGTTTTCAGTCCGGTATCGTTCTGGGCACAATCTACGCCACGCTTGGTGACGAGGCATTGGCCTACGGTTTCAATCAAACTGAGTCTTCGACTGTGATCACAGAAGGTGCTCTGTTGCCCGCGATTGTCAAGATTGCAAAGGACTGTCCTCATCTAAAAAACATTGTATACAACGGAGAAAAGCCCAACGATGTTGAAATTCCCGAAGGTATTACTTTGCAGGCTTTTGAAGATGTCATTAAAACTGGAAAGGCTTCAGATGTTACATTTGTAGAACCCAAGCCTGAGGATATTGCTGTGATCATGTACACGTCCGGTTCCACAGGTCTGCCCAAGGGCGTCATGCTTACACATCACAATATGGTGTCCGCATGTATTGGGTTTAAAGAGGCCCTACCGGATGTTGTTCCTGGAGAAGATTGTTTTATTGGATTCTTGCCCTTGGCGCATATTTTTGCCCTCTGCGCCGAAAATTTCCTACTCAATAGTGGCTGTATGATAGGTTATGGCGGCGCTCTTACTCTTACGGATAACTCTCCCAAGATCAAAGCAGGGACCAAGGGAGATATCAGTGAGCTTAGACCTACCTACTTGGCAGCAGTGCCTACCATCATGGACCGCATTCGTCAGGCCGTGACTGGTAAAGTGGCCGCCGGATCGCCTCTGGTTCAGAAGCTATTTAACAAGGCTTTTGAGTCCAAGAAAGCGGCCTTTAAAAAGGGAAAGGGCACACCTATCTGGGACGCCATCGTATTCAACAAGATCAAGGCAGTTCTGGGTGGTCGTGTGAAGGAGATTTTCTCCGGAGGTGCACCTCTGGCAGCTGATTCACAATTGTTCATCAACGTCGTGTTTGGTGTGCCTGTGTGCCAAGGTTACGGTCTCACCGAAACTTGCTCATCCGGTACAATTGCATCTGATAAAGACCGTGACTCGTTCGGTAAGGTTGGAGGACCTCTAGCTGTTGTGGATGTGAAGCTTAAGGATTGGGAAGAGGGTAACTACAAGGTTGCAGACAAGGACGATAAGGCTATCGGCATGCCTCGTGGCGAGATTTTGTTGAGTGGTCCATGCATTGCCAGCGGCTACTACAAGATGCCCGAGAAGACTGCTGAAGAGTTTATTAGGGACGAATCTGGTCAGATGTGGTTTCACACTGGTGATATCGGACAGATACATAAAAACGGAAACCTGCAAATTATTGACCGAAAGAAGGATTTGGTAAAACTGCAACAAGGCGAATACGTGTCTCTGGGTAAGGTAGAGAGTATGTTGAAGGCAGCGAACTACATTGACAACATGATGGTATATGCCGACCCTTTCCACTCTTATTGTATTGCGATTGTAACCGTCCTGCCGCCAGGCATCGTTGCTTTCTCGGAGAAGAGCGGTATTCAGAAAGAATGGGCTGAGCTTGTGAAGGATCCCAAGGTTGTCGCAGAAGTTCTAGCATCCTTGCAAAAGGAAGCAAAAGGCAACAAACTCGCAAAGTTTGAAACACCACAAAAACTATTTATTGAAGCCGACCCATGGTTGCCCGAGAGCGGTCTGGTCACCGCGAGTTTAAAGCTGCAGCGCAATAATCTGAAGAAACACTACGAGGCTGATATCGCCAAGATGTTGGAGTAAACCATGAATATATGTATGATACTATAATATTAATGAATATCATAAATATATGTACGATGCTATAATATTAATGAATACACATAAAATATATATGCAATGCATGTTTGTTATACAACCTAGTATACACGTGTATAAGTGGATTGGTACTGGCGGACTGGGCAGTTGACTCTTGTGCTTATTTGTTATGTGATGCTCATGTGTATGGACCGCTTGAAGTGAAATATACGTTTTATATGAATGTGTATGTTTACTGGTAGAGTGGGTCGTCCGCGTATTGGATTGATGTCCTCGTTCCAAATAAAAAAATGGTTCGATGCCGTGAAAGAGAGTGTACGGGCAGTTTATCTCCTACCACTGCACTTGTAGAAATTACTTGAACGGCATGAAGTTGATAGCCACATATCATTAGTATCGACAGGTAATTGAATTGACATTAAAATTGTAGCTGCAAGACATATGTGTAGTCTCCTAGTTCTGTATGACAATATTTATTCGCAATCTAAATTTCAACTCTTGAATGGATGTAAGATACATCACAACTGTTTTACCTCGCTGTGATTGACAGATAGATGGCATAGGGCATATATCTAGTACTGTGCTGTCGAAGGTCCACAGAGTCTTATACGGTTTTCTAATTCACACGATAACCCAGGCTTTTCAGGTTGCCAAATGCAGTGGTGAATCGCTATGCGTATACCGTGACTATATTTCTGGCACTACTTGTGCGTGCTGAAGGGTACCATGTACAGAACTCCTTTGTGAAGCGACGTTTTGTTGAGTACAGCACTCTTGTGAACGGTTATCCCGTGCACCTTGCGTTGTACACATACTGTTCAAGTATCACCGATTATGCCTGTACTGAAGGCCCTATATTGAATTAGGGCGCACGATGTACTTAGAAGAAACTATCTCGGGAATCTTACTGTAGTATCTGTTTCAAGCCAGCCACTGAACCACTGCATCACTGAGCCGCCGTATGTTCGATCTGAGTGAATGATTATACTGTTGCCAAGATTGTTGTCCTGCGCACCAGTTAAATGCTGAACCCAATCTTGATGTAGCCGCGTCCGCGGTGGATCTGATTCATGATCTATTCTCGCACGAAATTGCTCGACAATTTGAAGCTTGTAATTCGGATGGCGCGATTAACCTAAATTATGTTCTAATGCTGTTATCGATACTGGCCACCTAATCTGACCGTACAGTTGTTACGCTTGTATAACTATTCGCGCGATATGCACAACTCATCCCTTGTCGGCTGGCCACCTTTTTGTACTCGCGCATATCGAAGCTGTACTATAACCTCGACTACTTGTGAATACTATTGCTTCCCACTTTGATGTGATGGGCAGCTCTCGTTGACGCCGCAAGCATGGCTATTTGAAGAATGATTCTCAAATGACAATTTTCGAGTCACGCTATTTATCGCCCTCCTTCCGTCGTTTGTCCGTACGTTTCGAACATGTACACTCTGGGCAGCCCACAATAGGCGGGAGGCCATGCACTCTCATCTCAGAATATGGGCTTTTTTGGTGCAATCTCCACTCAGTTCGGTTGAATAATGCATTCGGATCGGAAGTATCCTGTCATAGCAAAGAACGACAAGTTATTCGGTATGTGTTCGTGACAAAAAACACATGTGATGTATAAATATGACAATACATTTATTCTCTCCGCAGAAAAAAATTATACATATGCATAAACATGTTCCTGAACACACACACACACACACGGCCAATATATATATATAATATACATACATACATATATACATACATCACTATATATATATATATATATATAAAATATACTTGCACATGAATTTTGTATACCTACATATATACATACATATATATACACACCGATATAAATAACTATACAGAAAACAAAATACAAAAAGTAAATAATATACATCCATCCATCCATCCATCCATATATATATATATATATGAATGTAGATATAAAAATGAAAATAATATACATATACATACATACTTATATACAAACGACACATACAGACAAAAATCAACACACACCCGCACACACACTCACAAACATATATATATTTTTANATACATATATATATACCATCTATATATATATATATGGTATACCATATATATACCATATATATATATA